GCTATATAGGAAGGCGAAAAACCCCCAGGGCCTCTTCCAATCTGCCCTGGAGGAAAATTCCTTCCTGACCCCGATAATGCTTGTACTCCTCAGTCCTCCAACAGTCCGCATTCTCACTCTCAGCTCCTAGTGCCTCTTGCTCCCAGCTCCTCACACGCGCACCACAAACTGAAGTGAGCTCCTTTTTAAACCCAGGTGCCCTGATTAGCCTGCCTTAATTGATTCTAACAGCTTCTTGATTGGCTGCAGGTGTTCTAATCAGCCTGTCTGTCTTAATTGTCTCCAGAAGGTTCCTGATTGTTCTGGAACCTTCCCTGTTACCTTACCCAGGGAAAGGGGACCTACTTAACCTGGGGCTAATATATCTGCCTTCTATTACTCTCCTGTAGCCATCTGGCCCAACCCTGTCACAATACATATATATATATATATATATATATAACACACACACACACACACACAATAAATTTAGTAACCTCAGAGACTAAAGTTAAACCAATGAAACCATTTAATGCCAAAGAAATATTACACAACCGTGAAGAGCAATACTACTTCTAACGACAGTGGAAAAGTTTGAGTAAAAGCATGTAGTTACTCTAACTGGCATTTGGTTGGGACACCAAGGTTACCATCCCTTATCACCCGCATACCTGTTAACTTCCACAGAGTCAATAGACCTCTCCCTTTTGTGCAATTATCTAGAGCCAGAGACAACATACCTCACTGGGAGAGGACATTTCAGTCAATGCCCCTTTGACTGAGACCTTGAGGGTCCAGTCACCCTGCACCCTTCACCACCCTGTACCCTTCACCACTAATCGTAAAAGTTAAGGGGATCATTTTCTCTTGGGGTAAACTGCATGAAATGAGCCAAACAACAGTCTCAGACACTGCTAATCATCTAAAAAACAAGATATGTTAAAAAGGGAGAAAATTACAGTAAGATAAAATAAATGGTTTACGTAACATATCTTTTGTATCCAATCCCTGAGTCTGCGCCAATAAAATATCAGCCGGGGCAACCCTACATCTTTTTCCCAAATTACCTCATTAAGGAAATATTGTACTATTTGAGTCACATGGTAAATATAGGCAGAGTGGCAGCTGCACAGGAAGACTTAGGTCATATCTACACTAGGGGCACTCAAGGGTATGGATTTTTCACACCCCTCAGCACTGTAGCTATGTTGACCTACATCTTACGTGTAGATTAGTCTTCCCGGTGGAATTAAAGCTGTTTAGTTTTATGAATTAAAAGAGAAGCAGCAAATTAAGAGAAAGAACAAACAATTATGCTGGAAAGCATATCAAAACTAAAATGGTATCTATTTATTTAAAACATTTCTCCATTATCACCATGATGAAGACATACTAAGTTATCTCATCACAGTTATATGTTGACATTCTGAATACAAATTCTTCATTTACAATGAAGCAAAATAATACATGAACAATTGCCTGTATGTTAAGCAAATGGCACACCTGCAACTCCACAAATATTTGATAATTGTTTTAATTGATAGGTAGGACATATAAGAGCAGATGGTGCCATTTCTCCACTTCTCTAAGTATAATTGCTCTTACCTCTATCCTCTGCCCCTCCTTAATCCTCTTAAATCTCTCCTAAAAACCTACCTCTGCCAGGATAAGAGGGATTCTTTCTTCTGCCAACCTTTAGGCAAGTAATGAGCTGAGACTTTTGTTTTCATACTATAGTTTGTTTTTCTTTTTACATCACACCCCCACCTCTGTTTATCTAATGTATCCTAAATCCTAGATTGTGAAATCTCTTGGAAAAGAACCTCTGTTAATTGATTGTACAATGGGGCCATGGTCCTTGACTGGAGTTCCTAAATATTACCACACCACAAACAACTAATAATAGGAAAGCCTTTTTCATTATTTTTGTACCTCATGAAGAAATAAATTACTTTTTAGCTTGAGGGTGCACATTGCAGGTGTGGAGAACATATGAACATAAGAATGGCCATACTGGGTTACACCAATGGCCCATCTAGCCCAGTATCCTGTCTCCCGAGAGTGGCCAATGCCACATGCTTCAGAGGGAATGAACAGAAAGGGCAATTTATTAAGTGAGCCATCCCCTGTTGTCCAGTTCCAGATTCTGGGGTAGCATCCCTGACTATCTTGGTTAATAGCCATTGATGGACCTATCCTCCATGGACTTGTCTAATTCTTTTTGGAACCCAGTTATACTTTTGGCCGTCACAACATCCCCAGGCAACAAGTTCCATAGATTGACTGTACTTGTCTGAAGAAGTACTTCCTTTTTGTTTGTTTTAACCCTGCTACCTATTAATTTAATTGGGTGACCCCTCGTTCTTGTGTTATATGAATAGGTAAATAACACTTCCTTATTCACTTAGACCACACCATTCATGATTTTATAGACCTCTTTCATATTCCCACTTAGTCGTCATCTCTTTTCTAAACGGACATGTCCCAGTATTTTTAATCTCTCTTCATATGGAAGCTGTTCCATATTCGTAGTCAAATTATTATTGTCCTTCTCTATACTTTTTCCAATACTAATATATCTTTTTTGAGAAGGGGCGATGAAAACTGCATGCAGTATTCAAGGTGTGGGCGTACCAAAGATTTATATAGTGGAGTTATGATATTTTCTTTCTTTGTTATCTATCCCTTTCTTAATGGTTCCTCACTTCAAGGGTGCTGGAATAATTTTTATAATGGGGGTGCTGATGATGGAAACCATTTATTTGGTGTTTGTTATTACTATTCAAGACATGGGATGCAGCAGCACCTCTAGTTCCAGCACCACTGCTAACATTATCATATTTTTTGACTGCTTCTGCATCTTGAGCAGATGTTTTCAGAGAACTATCCACAATGACTCTAAGATCTTCTTGAGTGGTAACAGCTAATTTAGACCCCATCATTTTGTATGTACAACTGAGATTATGTTTTCCAATGTGCATTGCTTTGCATCAACACTGAATTTCATCTGCTATTTTGTTGCCCAATCACCCAATTTTGTGAGGAGTGTTATGTGTATAAACACAAGGTAAAGAGAGATGAGAAGGATAAGGAGCAAAGGGTGAGCAGTCCTGAATTGAAAAATCTGCTGGATGGCTACCAAGTTACTCCTGCTTAGTAGCTGGAGAACTGTGCAAAAGTACTCTGTTTTTAGTGCAACTGGTTAGCAACACAAGTCTCATACCTAAACCCATGTCTCCTCAGATATGCCCACTCCTCACCAGTGTTGCCCACACTCACCATAATGTGAGTGCTGTGATTTGGGGCAGATTGTTGTGGTGGCAATCACAGACCACTCAGGAGTTTTGCCAGAGTAGTTTCCCACTTCAGTCACTAGAGGATGCTGTATGAAAGGCAGCAGCCTGCCCTACCAAGTAGACTCTATGCACACTGAACAGGGCAGTCCCTTGGAGCAGGAACAGGATAGTGAAGGTGCCCCCACCCCACCCACCAAGCTTGTCAGTAGTGGCCTCCCCGTCCTCCCATCCCACACATTGCAGTGGAGAGAGGGAGTGTTAATGCAGGCAGGAAAATGGGAAAACTCCCTCTGCTACAGGGAGGGGAGGGTGTTTCTCTCTCTCCAGCTGAAGCCTACCAGTGGGGAGTATGACAGGTTTCAGAGTAGCAGCCATGTTAGTCTATATCCACAAAAAGAAAAGGAGGACTTGTGGCACCTTAGAGACTAACAAATTTATCTGAGCATAAGCTTTCGTGAGCTACACTCACGCTGTTGCTCACGAAAGCTTATGCTCAGATAAATGTGTTAGTCTCTAAGGTGCCATAAGTCCTCCTTTTCTTTTTTCCTTGGGGAGCAGGTGCACTGAAGAGCTTGGAGGTGGTCAGAGTTGGCAAGCAGATAAATAGGGCAGCAAGAGAAGGCTGTGGATTAGAACGGCAGCGAGAGGAAGTTAGGGAGCGGGAACACAGGGCAGCCAGGGCCAGCATCTGCATTTGTGTGTGGGTATATTGTATACGTTTAAGAATGTATTTTCAAATCAAGTCTCAGACACAGGCAGGGGGAGTTCAAACAAAAGGAGACCAAAAGACATGGTTTATTATTTTTAAAAGAAATCTCATGACTTTTGGGTTCTAATGCATGATATTTTCATTCTTAGGATTGGCAACATTATTCCTCTCAAACGTGCCCTCTCCCTCATGTGTTTGAGAGTAAAGAAGCAGGCACTACTATCCCTTTGTACATATAAGCCTAGCATTAACTTTAGGCCTGCGCAGCTTCCATTCACACTTCCACAACACCTGCACCCTGCTTCACACTACACAAGGACTTGCATGATCAAGGATTTTAAGTATATTTTTTAAAGAAACTTAATTAAAGTCCATCAGCTGTTCCTCAGTACAATGACCTTCCTAAACTACGGAGACCCAAGACACATTGATGTTAAATGTGTGGTACTAGATAGGAGAAATACTGATCACTAGCACAAACAGTTAATATTTCCCTTTAAATAAACGTTTAGTGTGCTATTTCCCCATTACATGGAACATAACTGGGTAACATACATTACATGGCTCAGCAGACATAAGACATGACTCATGCTAGTTACACAAAAAAGTATTTGCATTTCTAGGAAAAGCACACAGAAGGTTTGGCAGTCATGCAGAATTTAGAAAAAACAGAGGTGCCTTAAACTAGCAGTGTGGCTGTCCAAAATCAGCAACTTCTACATATGTGGCACTTCCAAATGTTAGTCAAAACACTACAAAATTATTGCATATGTTTAAATGGTCCTAGACCCAAGCATCCTAAACTACACTGGTTGTAGCAAAGAAAATTTTTCCATTGTTTAATATCATCACATACTCTCACCAGTCTTCAAATGCAAGTTATATAATTTTACAATGCTGTAGTTGCAAAACATGTTAGCTAACATATCCACTTATGAGAAAAAAATATAACATTTAATTATAGATGCATGTATGAAATTCCTAGCGATGTATATTTATAAATATTAGTGGCTTACTCAGATAGTTATTTTCCTTCTCTTGTTCTTTTCCCCCAGGATCCCTGTCCTCAGCTACACTCCAGCTTCCTCTTCCACTGATTGCTAGAATGGGGTGGAGGAAGGGGAGAAATAGTCATGACATTAAAGATTCATTAGTAACGATTTATACATTTTTAAAATCCATCCTATGAAAGAAATCTAGATGATCCAGGGAAAATGGTAGTCTAAGAGCTTTAGTCTACTCCGATAAATTGGGCACTTGATGCCATAATGTGTGACCCTCACCAGAATGAGCTGCTGCTTAATTATTGTGGTTTGCCCCCTCCTCCTGTGAGCTCAGAGACAAGGCAAGGCAGGAGGCAGCTGGATATCCCTGGGCACGTTCTCTTCACTGTTTAAAAAAAATTACAAAGCATGAGATTTAAGTAAAGAGATACATTCTTCACTATGTAGAACCACCTCCTTTTCTCCCCAATATATTATTTCAGATTCTGAAGCCAGGAGGACAGAATATCCACTGATATGTTCTATGCTTGGTTATAAAACATGAAGGAAACCCCATGACTGTATTTGAAATGCCAAGTTTTCTATGGGTATGTCTACACTTCAATTAAACACTCGCAGCTGGCCCGTGCCAGCTGACTCAGGCTCACAGGGCTCAGGATATGGGGCTATAAAACTGTAGTGTAGATTTTCAGGCTTGGGCTGGAGCCTGGGCTCTGGGACCCTCCCACATTGCAGGGTCCCAGAACTTGGGCTCCACCCCCAAGCCTGAATTTCTTCACCACAATTAAATAATCCTGTGAAACTGAGTCAGCTGCCACGGGCCAGCAACAGGTGTTTAATTGCAGTGTAGACACACCCTTTGTATACACATAAATTGTGCCCCACATCAGTCCACAAAGATCAAAATACAACGTGCATTAAGTACCAACCAAGACATGTTAAAAAAAAATCCACGGAGAAATAGGATTTTTGTGTGTAGGAGTCTAAAAAATAGGATAGAAAGTGGTTTGCTATACAGACAGTGGGCAAAATTCGGGCCCCACTGTAGTCAGTGGGAGTTTTGCCATTGACTTAAATGGACCAGGATTTAACCCTCTGTGCACAATCAAATCACTTATTCAAATTTGACAAAACTATATGCAATAACCTTAACGCTAATCCTATTCTTTCATGCGTTACCTCAATATCTATAGACAACATAACAGGCTTTTGAAAAAAAGCTATAAAAATAGCTTACTCCATAGTTAAGGCTGCAGCAGAGTTTCTGTTTAAGAGCAATAGGAATTATTACCACAAGGAGTCTGGTGGCACCTTAAAGACTAACAGATTTATTTGGGCATATGCTTTCATGGGTAAAACCCCACTTCTTCAGATGCATAGAGTGAAAATTACAGATGCAGGCATTATATAAGGACACATGAAGGGAAGGCAGTTACCTCACAAGTGGAGAACCAGGGGCCAATTCAATCAGGGTGGATGTAGTCCACTCCCAATAATAGATGAGGAGGTGTCAATTCCAGGAGAGGCAAAATTGTTTTTGTAATGAGCCAGCCACTCCCAGTCCCTATTCAAGCCCAAATTAATGGTGTTAAATTTGAAAATGAATTTTAGTTCTGCTGTTTCTCTTTGAAGTCTGTTTCTGAAGTTTTTTTGTTCAAGTATAGCTACTTTCAAATCTGTTATAGAATGTCCAGGAAGATTGAAGTGTTCTCCCACTGGCTTTTGTATGTTACCATTCCTGATGTCCGATTTGTGTCCATTTATTCTTTTACGAAGGGACTGTCCGGTTTGGCCAATGTACATGGCAGACGGGCATTGCTGGTACTTCATGGCATATATAACGTTAGTAGATGTGCAGGTGAATGAGCCTCTGATGGTGTGGCTGATGTGGTTAGGTCCTCTGATGGTATCACTAGAGTAGATATGGGGACAGAGTAGGCAATGTGGTTTGCTTCAGGGATTGGTTCCTGGGTTAGTGTTTCTGTGGTGTGGTGTGTAGTTGCTGCTGAGTATTTGCTTCAGGTTGGCGGCTGTCTGTAAGTGAGGACTGGCCTATCTCCCCAGTCTGTGAGAGTGAGGGATCGTTTTCCAGGATAGGTTGTAGATAGTTGATAATGTGCTGGAGAGGTTTTAACTGGGGGCTGTAAATGATGGCCAGTGGTGTTCTGTTATTTTCCTTGTTGGGCCTGTCCTGTAGTAGGTGACTTCTGGGTACCCATCTTGCTCTGTCAATCTCTTTCCTCACGTGGATATTGTAGTTTTAAGAATGTTTGATAAAGATCTTGTAGGTGTTTGTCTCTGTCTGAGGGATTGGAGCAACTTCGGTTGTATCTTAGGGGTTGGCTGTAGACAGTGGATCGTGTGATGTGTCCTGAATGGAAGCTGGAGGCATGTAGGTAAGTATAGAGGTCACTAGGTTTCCGGTATAGGGTGGTGTTTATGTGGCCATCACTTATTTGCACTGTAGTGTCCAGGAAGTGGATCTCTTGTGTGGACTGGTCCAGACTGAGGTTAATGGTGGGGTGGAAATTGTTGAAATCCAGCTGGAATTCTTCAAGGGCCTCCTTCCCATGGGTCCATATGATGAAGATGTTATCAATGTAGCGCAAGTAAAGAAGAGGCGCTAGGGGACGAGAGCTGAGGAAGCGTTGTTCTAAGTCAGCCATACAAATGTTGGCATACTGTGGGGCCATCCGGGTACCCATAGCAGTGCCGCTGATTTGAAGGTATAAGTCGTCCCCAAATCTGAAATGGTTGTGGATGAGGACAAAGTCACAAAGTTCAGCCACCAGGTGTGCCGTGGCCTCATCAGGGATACTGTTCCTGACAGCTTGTAGTCCATCCTCATGCGGAATATGGGTGTAAAGAGCTTCTACATCCATGGTAGCCAGGATGGTGTTTTCAGGAAGATCACCAATGCATTGAAGTTTCCTCAGGAAGTCGGTGGTGTCTCAAAGATAGCTAGGAGTGCTGGTAGCGTAGAGTCTGAGGAGAGAGTCCAAATAGCCAGATAATTCTGCTGTAAGAGTGCCAATGCCTGAGATGATGGGGCGTCCAGGGTTTCCAAGTTTATGGATCTTGGGTAGCAGATAGAATACCCCTGGTCTGGGATCTGGGGATGTGTCCATGTAGATTTGTTCCCGTGCTGTAGCAGGGAGTTTCTTGAGCAGATGGTGTCGTTTCTTTTGGTACTCCTCAGTGGGGTCAGAGGATAGTGGCCTGTAGAATGTGGTGCTGGAGAGTTGCCTGGCAGCCTCCTGTTCATAATCTGACCTGTTCATTATGACTACAGGACTCCTTTGTCAGCCCCTTTGATTATAATGTCAGAGTTGTTTCTGAGGCTGTGGATGGCGTTGCATTCTGTACGGCTGAGGTTATGGGGCAAGCGATGCTGTTTGTTCACAATTTCAGCCTGTGCACGTCGGCGGAAGCACTCTATGTCGATGTCCAATCTGTCATTTCGACTGTCAGGAGGAGTCCGCGCAGAATTCTTCTTCCTGTAGTGTTGGTAGGAGGGTTCCTGTGGGCCAGTGCACTGTTCAGTGGTGTGTTGAAAATACTCCTTAAGTCGGACACAACAAAAGCAGGCTTCCAGATCACCGCGGAACTGTATCATGTTCGTGGGGGTGGCAAGGCAGAAAGAAAGTCCCCAAGATAGGACAGACTCTTCCGCCGGGCTAAGCGTGTGGTTGGATAGATTAACAATATTGTTAGGTGAGTTGAGGGCCTCACTGTTGTAGCCCCCTGTGGCATGTAGGAATTATTACCATATCTTAACCCTCCCTATCTAAATCTGCCATTTTCTCTGTGCCTAAGCTCCAGTTCAGCAATCCTTTTAATTTGGTCCAACACACATCACTGATATTCGCAGCACCATTGATCTAAAGACAACCTGTTGGCTGGAAAAAGCTAAGGCAGGAAGTTAGACAGTGTAATCTCCCTGAAGGGCATTTTCAGGAAGGGATCAGAGGGGGGAGTTAGCTGTGTGGTGTAGGATGTGTCACCTTAATGCTGCATTTTTTTGTTTCTCTAACATTTATGTTTAGATTTTTTCTTGTAACGTTAATTTTCTTGCAAGGGGCACTTAAAGGGACCCTAACACCACATTTCCTGTTTTTTCTCCTGAGGTTTGAGTTTGGGGAATTAAATTCCCATGTTCTGGAAGAGCCCAAGGAGCACAGGGCAGTGCTGAGCATCTACAGTCTTAACTCTGCATTAAGATTTTGCACATCAATATAACTTAATAGCCCACCTGAGGCTGATCAATGCAAGATCTTAACAAGCCCCTGGTGATTCCCTCTTTCGTCTTCCTCAGAGAGGGCAGGAAAATCTCTGTGGTTCCTGACAGTAAATCCCTCATCAAGCCCTTGCTCCAGTTGGTGAGAGGAGGCTCAGGAGGAATGAGTATATGCAGAGAAATGGCTAACTAGGAGTAAAAAGAAAAGGAGTACTTGTGGCACCTTAGAGACTAACAAATTTATTTGAGCATAAGCTTTCGTGAGCTACAGCTCACTTCATCGGATGCTCAGGAAAGCTTATGCTCAAATAAATTTGTTAGTCTCTCAGGTGCCACAAGTACTCTCTCTTTTTGCGGATACAGACTAACACGGCTGCTACTCTGTAACTAGGAGTAGTAGAGAGGATGCTGAAGGGAGGCAAGGGGAAGAGAACAAAAAGAAAATGGAGTACAAGTGATGGAAGGACACAAGGGAGAGCAGGATAAGGGGTGGATAGGTTTGGAGGGGAAAGGTTGGTGTGGATATTATATCTTTTTTGAGTTGCAAAAAACTCTACATATGCAAGCATTGGTGCCCCAAAGGGCAGTTCTCACACATGCTACAAAAATGTGTAGGACAGTCGTCTGTCATCTGTGCTGATGTATATTACTCAATAATTCCTACATTTTACCTCAGATATATTTCTGTGATGTATGAAGTAATCCTATAACTGATGGTATATCTGTTATATTCATAGAGCATTAACCTTATTTAAATGCCTCCTGAATTCTCAGTTTTTCCACAACCTCTACAGAAGCGAGTCCAAAATATTCTATTGTTTTTTCCCCATCTTTGTCTAAACACAAACTAATAGAACCACGAAGATATGCATGTGCCTAAACTGTGATGATATCAGTGTAAACCTCATTTCCTCGCATGCCATCCCCTCCACATAGTTAGCCCCATTCATCAACTCACATCAACAACTTAGAATGCAATTTCTTTGGGGCATAGACCATGTCATCCTATGTCTCCAGGAAGACCCTCACACACTTTTAGGCACTATAAAGTGAATAAGTAATTGCTAAAGCTCTTTGGGATCCTTCAGAATTTAAGAAAATATATACAGTAAATGTAAGATAGCATTAGATTTTGATATTCC